AAAGCAGTCTGACATTGGGCACAAATCCTGCATGCTGAGAGCCTTGATGGACAAACATAAAGTACATTGTACTTGGTTTGTGTGCATCAATAAAAAGGAAATGGATTGGGGCAGTTAAAATCCCTTTATGACGGGCTAAATTATTTCCTCGCTAGACAGGAATGGGAGGGACGTTTCAAACGGAGCCAGACTCCCAGAGACTGAAAAAATTTGGACACTTGGAGCTCAAAATAGAGGTTGTTTATCACCTGTAAGTGAAACCCTCATTCTGGGGTAGAAACTCAGTGTATTCCTGCAGGCAGAAATCCCTCCCAGGCTGTGGTTCCACTGCCAGGCTGCCCGAGGCATAAGGGAAAAGCTTGAACTGGCCACGTCTGATCTGTTCTATCCAGGAGCACCCCCAGTGCTGTCCCAGCTGAGCCCGACCCAGCCCCTCTCCCTGGAAGTGCAGCAGCCTCAGAGTGACGTGCACAGCAAATGCAGTGGCACTTACTGGAATTTAAGGACCTTGAAGTCAGAGCTCGCTGCCCTCCAGCCCCACACACGGTGATTGGTGGGAGCACAGTAATGAGCTCGTTAATTAATGAATCTCATAACTTGGTCGCTGCTTTGCAGGTCCTTGCTCTGCATCAGGGCCCTCCCCGAGCTCCCCTGATTATCCAGCCGGGCCCTCCCACTGCAGCAGGGAGGTGCTCTGGGGATCAGCACGGCACCTGGGTGGGGGGTTTGTTTGGACTGGTGTTAAATGGGAGGCTGTGGAGGCTGCTTCTGTCCAAATGATTCTTGGAGCCAGATCTTTTCCTTCTCCGCTCCACCACCTGCAGTGTCAGCCTAAGCTGCTGTTTGCCAGCACCTGGACCATTTGCCATTAGCAGTTGTGCTCAGTCCTGCTCGTGAGGAGATTTGGCTTCTTGTTTGGTCATCAAATTGAGGTACTTCTCCTTTCTCAAAAGGTGTCTGAGAGGTTGGCAAGGAGACCCTCATCCCCCGAGGTCAGAGGGGTGCTGTGCACAGAGCACAGCTGAGCTGGGGTTTGAAATGGGAAGAATTTGCAGCCACTGGGAGAATTACTCAGGATCTTGAAAGCCCTATCTAGCTGTCAGTGCTGCAGGAGCACAGTGTCCCAGACTTTTCCCTTCCCACAGGGTGTGGATGGAAAAGTGAAGGCTACACACAGCCCAGTCCAGAACTCCAGGTGCCCAGGATTGCTGTACATCTGGATTGCTGTGTCTGGATTAATAATGTCACCTCTGGGAGAACACCCTCTGCTCCACTGATCCTGGCTCCCAGGCTGGTTTCTGTCTCCCTTTTTGAGACACAATGAAACAGTGATGCTCATTTACCTTCATGAAAACCTGAGCTGCTTCGGGCCTGTCACCTGAGCAGCTTTAAAGGCAAAGGCAGAGAATGGCAAATCTAGAGAGACAGCAATGGCATTCCACTGGCTCTTCCCATCTTTTCAGTGGGAATAAAAATAGACAGTCATAATGCAGTAGGTAGCTCTAGTGAGGTTCAATATTCAGCAGTCTTGTGGTGATTTTCCAGTTAAGGAACAAACCCACAAAATTATTTTGGATTCAGGAGGGTGACTCACATTAAAAATGTACTTATTTTGGTGCCTGTCATGAGGGACTCTGACAATGCCAAACTCTTCACTGCTGAGCTGAAAGTATCTGCACACAAGGATCCCAGGACAAGCACTACCTGCATCCTGCTATTTAAGGAGCAGAATTGGAAGCCACCTTTGGAATACTAGTCTAAAACTTTCAATTTGGGCATATTCCCTGCCAATCTCATTCAGGAGCATGAACCCCAAACAAGGCTCTGCCAAGGTGGGCAAATGAGGCTGAGCAGGGCTTCTGGAGTGGGCTCACCTGCACTGTGGACAGGAACACGGCCATCACCCGTCCTTGGCTCTTGGCAAGGGACCGCAGGACATCGAGGGACAGGATGTTGGTTGTTCCCTCCCATATGGACAGAACCTGTGGGAAAGAGGAGGCTGGGCAAGAGCAGGAAGGAGCCTTTGGAGTGACTGCAACAAAGATAGGGGAAAGGAGGGAGCTCAGCTCCATGGCTGTGCTGGGGAACAACCCCAGCACCAGGAACACATCCTGTCTCCTCCCTGGGAATGGTTGGGCTCAGCAGGAAGGCAGTGAGGGAAGAGCTGCCACACCTGGAGCGAGTCTGGGAGGATGTGTTCCCCCTGGAGCAGGTCTTCAGCAGGGAAGCAGAGTGCTGTGCAGGGCACTAGGGCACACACAGGAGCTTCTCTTACCAGAGTATCCCGGAGGATGACTGGCACACCCGTGTCCTCCATGTAACCTTGGCCCCCAAAGCTCTCCATGGCCTCCACAGCCACAGCAGTAGCCTGCAAAAGGCAGAGCTGGCATGATCCACAGTGCATGAGGGGAAACAACAAACCTCCCACAGCAGTTCCTACTGGGATGGGCTGACTGGGCCCTGCTGACTTCCTGAGGCAGTTTCCTCACTACATACAGGAGGAGAAGCTGGGGAATGAAGACTGAGAGAGGACCTGCAGGAGCAGCCAGACCTTGGGAGAAGATCCCAGGAGAGTCTATCTCAACACAGTCCTTCCAGGCAACGTACCTGTGGTGTGCTTGGTACATGGGAGTGTGTTTCTCTGGTCCAGGAGAGCCCTAACCTTCAGCTTCTGTGTATGTAAGCTGAGGGCCATGAGCAGAGGACAGACCCCTGAAGTTAAGGCTAATGTTAAGCTCTTAACATCTACTCTTCTCTTTATTCACAGTGAATGATATTCTCCGTGGCTGTGTCCTCCTTGGACATGGGGAGCCCCAGCAGCATTCCTGTGGCACATGGAGCACTCCTCGGCAGTGCTGGCTGTCTCTGTCCCCATCAGATGGCTCAGGTGAGAGCAAAGGGACAAGGCTCCTACCCACAAAGTCCAGTCTCCAGAGCAGTACCTGCTGCAGGTCCTGCTGGTATTGCCCCCTCTCCCTGCCCTTCATGTTGGCTGTGTTACTCAGCCCTCTTTCCAGCTCTGTGGTTGTCCATGTGCCACACAGCCCCTTCCCAGGCTAATCAAACTGCCTGTTCCATACCTGCTTCCCCGTGTACAGTTTGGCCACAGGGACCAGCAGTCTCAGGAGCAGCTGGTCCTGCTCACTTGCCAGGTTGGTTTCTGCCAGGCCGAGCAGGCGAGCGACCTCCATGAGCAGCAGAAACGCCCCTCGCGCCTGCACCTGTGAGCAGAGAACAAGGGGTGTCACTGGCAGGGATCTGGGACTAGGGCTGATTCCATGATTCCATGCTGAGGTGCCACGGGACTGCCTCGAGGGGAAAATGCCACCCCTGCCTGCACAGACCCACAGCTTCAGAGACAGAGACCTCCTGCCAGGCAAGGCACAAAGCACAGAATATCAAAGGTGCTCTGGAGCTGCTGCTCTTGGACACTGTGATCTGAGGAAAGGGGCAATGCCACTTCATCAGGGCTGCTTGAGCCTCAGCAAAGCTCCTACCAGTCATCCAGGCCACAAATCCACATCCTTTCCAAGGGTAAGAGATGTGAGACCACACATATGATGGTCAGTCTCTGAGCACCAGGAGCTGCAAGGTCTGTGACAGATTTCTTGCTGAGCAACTTACTTCCCTGGCAAGCTGTGATTTGGGAAGCATCAGGATATGGAGCTCTGTAGCTCCTCTGTGTAAAGATGTGCTGTGGGACTGTATAGGATCTGCCCTTTCTTTCAGAGGTGGAGTTCTGGCCACAGGCTAGGAGAAGCTGGAGCTTGAAGTTATGTTTGACAGATGTTGACACTTTCCCTCTCCCTCAGCTCTCAAGAGAATTTTTAAATGCTGTTTACAGCCCATCTCCTGGTGCATGAACTACCAAGGAAATTGGGTGAGTCTGTACCACCCCTGGACAGGAGGCTGGTGACTGCAGTTCAGGTGACTGTGGAGTCAGGCCTGGACTCTGATGCCAAGACCCAGTTTCAGAGATCATGGCTCATCGCAGCAGGGGCACCCATGAACTTTGGTGTTCCACTCAAGAGAGTTCCCAGGTAATTGCTTAGGATAACCTCAAGTCCATCAGAGAAGCTAGGTCTATCATCAGATCAAATCCCACTAGAATGTGGCAACTCCCTTGCTGCATACACTTTTTTGTAGCAGGAAGAGCCTCCTACATCTGACTGCTGCACACAGCAGGCTGGCTGTGCTCATTACCAGCAGAGGAGCTCTGCCCTCTTTCTTTCCCAGCAGGTTCAGCTTGGCTCCCAACAGCCTCACCTCCATCCGGGCTATGGTCTGCATGTGTAGGGGATGGTCCTTGAGGAGCTTCCCAAAGGCGACCCTCCTGCGGGCGTACTCCCTGCTCAGACTGATCATCCTGCAGGGAACACAGACAGAACACAGTCAGACCTTCCACTTCTGAGCATTCCCTTCCAGCCACCCCCACCAGAAGAACCCTGCTCAGCTGTACCCCCCAGCCTGGGTCACCCCCAACCTCCTCCAGCACTGTTGCCTTCCAGACCTGTCCCACAAAGGCATTAGATGTCACTCAGCACAACGCCGAGCATTGCCAAGTCCCCTTGTCCTGACAAGCTGCTCCTTCAGCTCTGGGGGGATCCATGCTGCCTTCACCTTCTCATGGAAGCTACTGCACCAATGACATTGTGGATCCGAGTGATGTTCAGCATGTTGGAGATGGAGGCCACTCCACGACCCTCTGCAGAGATCTGGAACAGCGAGGAACAAAGGCTGCTGTGAGCCTTTCACACTGCCCTGAGTGGGGAGGGGATGGATATGGAAGTGAAAGTGGTGCCAACAGACAGATGGGCACGGGCTCCACTCCATTCCTGTCTGACCTCAGGCACCTCAGTGCTTTAAAATATGGCTATCCCATGTTAATCAAGTCTATGGCACAGTGTGGCTGCTCCATCCCTGGAAATGTTCAAGGCCAGGTTGGATAGAGCCCTGAGCAACCTGGTCTAGTGGAAGGTGACCCTGCCCCCATGGCAGGGAGTGGAATGAGATGAGCTTTAAGGTCCCTCCCAAGCCAAACCATCCTGTGATTCTATGATTCCATGACCAGAGAGGTGGCATGATCAGTTCTGGTCCCTGTTGCTTGCTCTACCTGCACATTACACAAACTGTACCTCAGCTGGCTCAGTGCATCTGGATTAGGGAAATGACCAGCCTAAAATGACTTTCTTTTTTTTCTTCCCTCACATCTTTTCCTGAGCTCTTCTCAGCCATGCTCCACACAGACCCACTGCTGAACAGCCAGACAACAAGCTGGAAGGGGGGGAGCTTTTCCAGTTGGGATCACTGCTGAAACCCCCAGGAGTGTGTGCTGTGCCAGGCCAGCCCAGTGCCCAGGGGAGGGTGAACCCCTTCTCACCAGCTCTGCTCTGGCTCCCTGCAGCCACAGCTCTGCCGTTGCCATTTGTCTGGTGCCCAGCTTGTCTTTGAGCCGCTGCACCTGGATGTTGTTCAGCTTCCCTTCCTCGTCTCGAACCCTCAGGAAGAACAGGGACAGGCCCCTGGAACCCTGGGGACACTGAAAGGCACACAATGAGGATTTAATTATGATGAAACAAGGAAGAAAGAGAATGTCCCTGCTCCTTCACCTGGCTCTGCCATCCAACAGAACTGGTTTACCTGTCCTTCAGCATCTGCTATCCTGGCCAGGGTTAATGCCATATCAGAGTCAGCAGCTGATGTAAACCACTTAAATCCATAGAGACAAAAGGAACCATCCGGCTGCCTCCTGGCCACGGTCTCGGTGCCGTTCGCTGAAACAGAGGGGAACATTTCTTCTTTCACAGAAGGCCTTATGGGACCTTCTGTGTCAGTCAATGCTGCTTTTTCAGGTTAAGCAGCAGCTCTTTTAAGCTACCTCTTGCTATGAAGATGGAGCATGGGTGAGCTTTTAATCTCTTTCATTGACCCTTGATAAAAAATGCAGCGTGCATAATCCAGTGCCTCCGGTTCTTTAGGGGCTACCACAGCCAAGAACACTAAGGGCTCTACAGATCTGGGAGCCCTGCAGTGATGCACATCTTTCACTTCACAGCTGATCTTTTCACTACTTCAACCAGAAAACCAGCTGCAGCTTCCTCAGACTCCCCTTCCCCAGTTCTGCCTCTGCAGCAGAGTTCTGAGGTTCCATAGCCCATTATTAATGTTAGTAGGCAAATAACTAATGTTATTACTAACTAACATTAGTCAAGTTGAAGGCCAAGGATGCTTTCTCAGTCCCAGCTGGGATGGACTTGACGGTGTGGCTCAATGTTTAGATTATAGAGCTAGAGATCTGTGTGTTACCTGTGCAAGGAGCACAGGTCTGTGCCTGCCTGTGTGTTCTGCTTGTGCCAGTGGACAGAAGCATTTTCTTGGCATTTTCTTGGTTAAAAATCTGAGCTATGCAGAGGATTCCTAAACCAGCTCCCTGGCTTTGTAAGCTCCCCACACCCTTCATTTTCTCAGTTCTCACTGCCACATCTGTCTCCCACCTCAGGGCACGTACCAACATCCGAGCCGCCCCTGCGCTCCGTCATCCACTGGCCAGAGGTCCAGAACTTCTTGGGGTCACGGGATGTCAGACGGTCAAAAGCGCTTTTCAGAGACCCGGGAGTACCCAGCGACTGTTTGGGGGGAGGGAATAGAAGCTGAGATGGTCATAACACAGCAGATGAAATCAGACAGATGCTTTAACTGCCCCTGGTGTGTCCTGGGCTCAGACCAGCCGGTCTGGAAGCAGGTGGGGGTCCTGCACTGCGGAGCATCTGCAGGTGCTGCAGAGAGCCTGTGAGCCAGCCAGCTCCTGCCTGGCTGCTGCAGCACTGTGCACACAGAAGGTGTTCCCTGTGTTACAAAGGGAGTGCTGAGCATCCTTACCCTCCTCAGATTTCGGCACCGCTGGACATCTGGACAGAGAGCTCCCAACACGGCCCATGTGCCAGGTATCAGCATATGTTCATGTACACTGGATGTCACCAGCTGGGAAGAGGTAACTGCCTTGGGCTGGTTTGGTTTTTGTTGAATTAAAATTTGGTTTTTGTTGAATTAAAATTTAGGAATTAAGATACCTAAAGGATATTTTCCTCTGAATCCTACGCAGCCACTGAGGGAGTGCAAAGGGTGTCACTAAGACGCAGAACCAAATATTCCAACTGGGAAAGTCTTAGTGGCTTGGTGAATTTACACCAGGTATGGATCTGGCTCAATATATCTAACTGCCACTCCACATAAGGAATAGGAAAACAAATATTCTTGTAGTAAAAACATCATAGGATCATGGAATGGTCTAGGTTGGAAGGGACCTTAAAGCCCATCTTGTTCTACCCTCTGCCATGGGCAGGGACACCTTCCACTAGACCAGGCTGCTCCAAGCCCCGTCCAACCTGGCCTTGGACACTTTCACTTGGGACACATTTCCAACTCCCTGCAGTGTTGCAGGTGTCACATGCAGCAAAGGCCTGACTGTACACAGTGCTGTAAGTAAACATAAACCTGGCGTGGGCACAGAGACTTTGTCACTAACAGACAAAGGCAGTGGGGGACGGAGCTGAGTCACAGAGCAAGCAAGGGCCGTGCCCAGAGCCAGATGGTGGATCAGTGCTCCTCCATCCTTGGCCGGTGCTCCCATCTCTAACCAGAGCTGCCAGGACGTGGGCTGTGCCCTCAGGGACCAGCTGAGCTCATACCTCAATGACTTTGGCTGCCCCATCAGTCATGGCCAGTGGACAGCTGAAACCTCCAGAGGAGGTTGAGAACAAGTACAGTTTGACAGCCTGGTACAGGCGGCTGAGAGAGAGAGAGAGAGAGAACAGACGTGTTACAGAGCAGTGCAACAGCGGGAGGATAAAACATCTCGACTGGGAGGAGAGGGAAAAATACAGCCAGAGCAGGTGAGGATCAGACCACTCATTTCTGAGAGGGCAAAAACTGCTCCAGCCAGGAGGAGAGAAGAGAAGCAGCAGAGTTTCTCAGTCTCAGTGGGACTGCCAGCACCAGGCCAGCTGGTGCAGTTTTTAACAATAAGAAATGTGGGTCTGTCTCCATGGACCAGAACACAATGAAACTGCAGGTGAAATATCAGATCTTTAGCTGCTTTAGCTGGAGCAGTGCAGGGAACTGCCAGGCCCCACAATCAGGAAGGTGACATCAAAGATTATTATGATCAAGTGTAGGCCTTTAGTTCTGGCCTATCATTGTTGAAGTGGAACATTGCAGTGGACAGACAGTGCTGCTGGGGACAGCAGGAGCTGAGCTGGTGTCCGGGCAGCATCTGTTACCCGTTACACAACCAGCTGGATAAACCTTGCCAAGAATAACCAGGAAGGCTCTGAGTCACTCCCATTCTCCCCCAGTTACCTCCAGTTGGAGTATTTTCTCTCATAGGCCTCAGCAATCAGCCCCTCTTCTGCCGAGATCTCCTTCATCCTCCTCCAGGCCGAGCAGGTGTCGATGCGATCCACGCGCTGTCCCCAGGCGTCGAACTGCCGGAACACCGGGGGGTTCAACTCGCACTCCCATCCCAGGGGTTGGATCTTGGTTAGCAGGCGGTTTCCAAATCTCTCCAGGTCCTGATGTACCTCCTCCAGTACCTAGGGAGCAACAAGAAGAGCCCTTCAGCACAACCCTGGAAGGCAGGAGCCTCGGTCCCAGCTGGAAAGGCAGAGCACTGCCCATGTTGTCCTGCAGTGCCAGTGGTCTCTTGCCACCTGGCCCTTCCTTGCATTTTGTAACACAGCACAACTGCTTCTCCCTCAGCCTCTGCTGGCACAGCTGTGCTCCATTGACACTTTTTCTCTTTTTGCCCTCAAAATCATTTTTTCAAGTTACTTTTGGCAGCATGTCTGGATTTCACAAAAGGCAGAAGTGCTTTAGTATCAGGGCTGAGAATGACACCGATGCACATGAGCAGAGGGGTTGGATGAGACGGTCTCCAGAGGTTCCTCAGCCACTCCATGATTTACTGCTGGAGAAGAATGCCAGGGGAAGGGCTGCCAAAACTGGAATGCCTTCCTCTGTACAGGAAAACTTTCGCTGGGCTTAGCAGTTACCTGCCTGTCAGGTTAGGAAAGGAGGGATGGAGGAATCATTTCATCCTCAGCTTGGCAGGCAACGTGTCTTGATTCAAATTCCCACCCTGCATCCAGCTTCCTACAGGACCCTGGAGAAGAATTCATGTGCCCTTGTTTCCCCTGGGCTTGGCTGACCAGAACAGAGCAGTCTGTCCACAGTTAATGGAGGGAAACCAGCACCCACCACAGAGGAGTGACTCATTCCAACTCCCTCACATTCCTGTTTCAAGGTGACAGTAATTGCCTTCTGCAAGTGCTCTTCCCTCTCTGTGGAAAACATGAGTGAAGTTGCCCAGCCTTAAATAACCTGACTTAGAGAAGATTAAAATCAGGCCAACAGGACTCAACCTCCAGCACTGTTGGACCCTCATTAGCATAAACACATCCGAGGCTGTACTGGGGGTCAGGGAAGCACCTGATATGCTTCCATCAGAGGAGTATTGTTTGCTGTCCTCTGCCCCTCGAGAGACACTCATTCCCTCCTCAATAAAACAATGAAGGAGGTGAATACCATAGTTGCTGTACCTAAAACAGTGCAGTTATAAACCCCATTAATGTGCTGTTGATGAAATGCAAACACAGCTTCTTCCTTTCCTGCCCCCCCCACATTGACTCTCCACTGAGCTCTGTCCCGTGTGATCGATTCCTTCAGCACTCTGCTGTTCTGCACAAGTCATGAGGACCCAACACACATGGAGCTGGTCCAGGTGCTGCTCTGGAAGTCTCCACCCTCAGACCAGCCACTTTTCCTTCAGGTGAATGGTGAAAGAGTGTTAAAAATCACAAAACAAGCCCAAACCATGCACAAGAGCCTGTCAGCTGGTCCAGCTCACACCACAGCCCTGTTTGCTGTTGGAGCCCAGCTGGGATGGGTGTGCACCTCCAGTGCTTATCATTTGAAGGTTGTTTACAAGGCATAACCCCGGAAACCAGAGTTCATGGACTTTGCTGATCCCTGAAGCACAAGAACCTTTGAACTGCTTACCTGGTATTTTTTTGTGGGCAGAAGAGCATGAGCCTACCAGATAGATCTCTTGGTTTGAGTTCACACTACAGGGAGCTCGTCCATATTTCCTAAAAACCCTCATGCCCTGACCACACACAGCCTGACAAACCACTGACCTGCCCAATAAACAAATAAATGTGTTTATTCCCAAGGTGAAAGAACAAAATCAAAACTCCTGTGTTTGTGACTGCTGAGCATCACACACAGCAGCCTGAGTGCTCCAAAGAACAGACACTGGGATATGGACAGGACACTTGTAAACCATCAGGGTCAGGGCTGAGGCTGCTGGGTGATCTCCTTCACCCTAATCTGCCCCTTGATATTCCAGGCATGAATATATTGGAAATGTGCAAATTATTGCACATTAGGAGTGTGACCCTTTATAGTAAAGGACATATTTTCAGGCCAATCAACACCAGGTAGATCCTTCTTGACAACAATGCTCAGAAAAAGCAGGTGCTTCGTTCTGTGTTCTCCTGAAATCACCTTCAAACAAAGGAAGAAATCTTTTGTGCCATTCCAGGAAAACTTTTGTGTTCGCCACTGAATAGTACAACAGGAATAAACTTCCAACGTGGTGTCTGCTTCGGTGGGACACCCAGAGCTTCGGGGGTTGCTGCTCTCCTGGCCAGGAAGGTGTTCCCATGGAGAGCCGGCTCCCAGTGCTGCAGACAGCAGCCGGGGCTCTCCCTTCCAGCAGCGAGGCAACACTGCCCCGCGGGGACCGAGAGCAGAAATGAAAGGGAGATGCTGCTCTGGGAGATTTCACAGCCGCTCTTCTCTCTTTGGGGAAGGAGTGGAGGCAGCTCTCAGCCTCGCTGAAACACAGCATTGATCCTTTTATTCTCTGGGAGACCTGGACTGTGATTCTTCCAAAGGTGCAGATTAGGAGCAGGGTCTTTGCGGTTGCTCAAAGGCATCGTCCTTTCCCGTCTTCTCTTCCGGCAAGAAGGCCATGGTGGTGCTTAGGGAGGCCTCATTCCTGTCTTTAGGGATAGCTGTGACAAAAGCAAGCTCCCATTGCTCCCACCACACTCTTCTCACCCGGTGCCTGCGAGACATGGAGGGAAAGCAGAGGAGGGCAGAGCCTCACTGAAAGCCACGTTCTTCCCCTCTGCTCACCCAGTGGCTTTAGAGGTCATTGCAGCTTCTGCTGCGATAAATCATGGAGAGAGGTCACACACTGCTCCATGAGAACGGGTCCCTGAAAAGTGGGAAACCAACGTGGACCTTGGGGTGAGGAGAGCTGCCTCCTCCCAGGGGTTCCTCTGTGCTCAAAGCACAGAAACCCACAGTTCAGGGTATCACCATACCACCTGCACCCCTGAAACCTGTACAGGGTCTTTTCTGGCTGAAAACCAACCCGGAAATGCCACTGGCCTGTGCTGAGACCAAGCAGACCACAAGGGGCCTTTGTACCCGCTCGAGCACTCAGCTGAGAACAGCCCCATTCCTTAAGAATTTCCTTAAAAGCCCCTCTTCCCAGGGGAAGAGAGGTGGAAGAGCACAGCAGAGGTTGGAGGCACCTTAGTTTTTAACTTCTCTCTGAAATTCTGTTCTTCAGACAACCAGAAAACAAATACCCACACCGACAATCCCACAACAACATTGCAACACCCAGCCCAGTCACGGGAGCCACTGAGCCACTTGCCGTTTATGTCGTGGCACTGTTTGTCACTCCTGCCCTCAAACATAATTAGTTTTAAAGAAAGCTGATAAATTCCCCCCAGTTAAATGCTCAAAGGTTCAGAGAAACATTCAATTCACAGGCTGAAACAGCAGCTGGGCGGAGCTGTGGTGGGTACACACGGAAACACAAACATGCACGCCAGACCTTGGGAGGAAGGTGAGTTTTCAAGTAACTCCGAAGCAAAGTATCCTCCAAGTACGGGTTCCCAGTCTTGGGCTGCTCTTGGAAGAGGGTCTCCGTTGATCTCCTCACAAGGGGCATTTCCAGATCTTCTAACACTTGTTTCTGCTGCGCGCTGACCGGCTGCTCCTGCCCCCCGGTCGTGCTGATTCCTTTAACACTCGGTGTTTGGCACCTGTCCCTGGTGCGAGGCAGAAGGTGACCCGACTGCCAGGGCTGGATGGTGGCACTGGATCTCCACCAGGGCAGGCGACGGGCAAACATGATTCAGCAGAGCCCTGAGCGTGTCACGCCAACAGCTCTCACCTACAGACCGTTCCTCACCCGACAGCAGCACCAATCCTGGCCTGTGTGAGTGTTGTGAAACTGTTCTGTCTTCACTCCTCCCTCCGGAAGGAGTTTTCCTGCAGCTGTTGTCAACTGAACTAGGGAAAAGGTCTTTGGCAAGAGACCAGAAAATGGCCTAGAAAAACACAAGTACTCAGGAAATACAGTGTCCTCCCCTACTAGCTGGGCAAAGCATCATAACCGGTCAGACTGACATTTCCAGAGCTGGGGGAACTGAGAAGCGGGGGGTGAGGGATGTATTCTCACCTGAATTGCTTGGACTGATAATGGGGTAAAGATGAGGAGGAGGAAAATACATTTCTTTATCTAAAAGATAACAAAATGCCTGGAAATGGGAAGAATTCATTTAGGCAGGTTATTCTGTAAGTAAGATAGTGGGGAAATGGAGAACTCATCCTCCTTGCCTGGTCTGTGAAATAATCTGGTTCTTACAGAGTCCCTTCGAGTTGAGTTGGGACGATATTGTCTCCCTTTCCCTAGAGAAGTACCAGAATATTCTAAGAACGTGGCTTTAGTAGTTGAAAACCTGCACCTTCCTCGAGGTGATATGCTGCAAATAAACCCAGTATTTGGCTATAAAGTGATTTTAAACATACATGATACCACACAACTGTCCCTGCCATGGCTGGCCCTGCCGCTATTTCTTCTGCAGGGTCACCTTGTGTCCTGGTTTTGGCGAACGACAGGGTTAATTTTTCGCAGTAGCCGTGAGGGGGCTAAATTGGGGAACACCATCCTAAAACAAGGACACCTTGTCCTGCCCGAGTTCCGGGTGCAGGGCAGCAGGGTCAGGGACAGCCACAGGGTGAGGGGCAGCGGCACACACAGACACAGGGTCAGGGACAGCGGCACACACAGACACAGGGGCAGGGACAGCCACAGGGTCAGGGACAGCGGCACACACAGACACAGGGTCAGGGACAGCGGCACACACAGACACAGGGTCAGGGGCAGCGGCACACACAGACACAGGG